TCCTTCCTCCACTTTAAGATCTTTTAGAGTGAAATGATTTCCATTGTCAATTGGAGACCATTCATTGTTACCTGGTGCCCCACTATAGTCTGCTTGGTGGGCCCCATTGGTGTGGATTGTGTGGGCTGCATTGTCACCATAGAACTTTCCCCTGCTTCCTATCATGGAGTATCCCATGTTTCCTTCCTCCGTTCAGTGATAACTTTGCATAAAACCATTTTCATAGTTACTTGGCTCCCCACTGCAGCCTGCTTGGTGGGCCCCACTAGTGTAGGCCATGAGGGCTCCACTTTCATAGCTCATGTGGTCATAACCGGCACGGTCCAAAAAACTTGAGTGGGTCGTGCTTCCACCATAGGTGGCATGGGCCCCACTACCAGGATGGGTTATGTGGTAACTGCTAGCATGGTTCGATTCGACCCTCTCGCCATAGCCTGAGTATGGATAAGAGTACCCGTGGGTACCATTTGTTGGGACTTCAAAGTTGGGGATAGCCAAAGTTGGAGGTGGAATGTGTAGGGTTGGTGGGACTTTGATGCTTCTAGGCAAAGTTGGTTCTGTGATGGTTGGGGTTTCATGAATCATGCTTGCATTAAACATGTTTTGAGAATCATTACTTCTCATCTCTCTGCCCAAGCCCGTGTTGTGCTTGAATTGAAGATTATTGGTGGTTGGCATTTCATGAATCATGCTTGCTCCATTAAACATGTTTTGAGAATCATTACTTCTCAACTCTCATCCCAAGTCTGCGTTGTGCCCAAATTGAAGATAATTTGTTCTCATGTCTCCTCCCAAATTTACATTGGGATCCATGCAACCGGTTGTTTCAAGTTGGAATCTACTAGTAGCGTCAAGTTGGAATCTAGTAGCAGCATCAACCTCGCTGGCTTCCATGAGCACGGTATTTTTTACTGCAGGAAAGTCCATAAAAATGAGGAGTTAATTGAGATATTTGCATAGGCTGAATCGGAAAAAAAGTACACATAAATTTGGTTATGGTATGATAGTTCAGGAACAAGTTTTGGACAAAAATATTAGAATATCAAGTGGCTCTCTTAGTCTCTCTGCAAGAGACTCATTGGATGTGAGGGTAAGACACTCACATCCCAAAGTTTCCCAGAAATCCATAAGCAGTATTCCATCCCTAATAATAAATCATTTCATGTTGTTCCCAATCTATTCCTTAAGCCTTTGTCCTTTAAGTGTATTCCATCAAGCATTCCATCCCTAATAATAAATCATATCATGTTGTTCCCGTTCTCATAAACCCATAAGTGCAGAAATTATGCAAAAAAAGAAACTAAGCACTAAGCGCTAAGGGCTTAAATATGCAAAAAACGAAATTAAGCACTAAGCGCTAAGAGCTTAAATGTGCAAAAACAATGAATTTGCACAGATGGTAAGAAGAAATTACGCACTAAGCGCTAAGGGCTTAAATGTGCAAATAATAAATCCCTTATAATAAATCATATCATGTTGTTCCCATTCTCATAAACCCATAAGCGCAGAAATTATGCAAAAAAAGAAATTAAGCACTAAGCGGTAAGGGCTTAAATATGGAAAAAACGAAATTAATCACTAAGCGCTAAGAGCTTAAATGTGCAAAAACAATGAATTTGCACAGATGGTAAGAAGAAATTACGCACTAAGTGCTAAGGGCTTAAATGTGCAAAAACAATGAATTTGCACAGATGGAAAGAAGGCATGCCCATGAAAGCTTAGCTTTTGAATGTGTTAGAGTGATAGAGTGAGCTTGGCAGTAACCAATGTTTTAAAATAGTGATAGAGTGTGTTTTTTTAAAAGAGTGATAGAGTGTGTTGTTTGATAGAGTGTGTTAGAGAGTGTGTTTTTTTAAAAGAGTGATAGAGTGAGCTTACAGTAACCAATGTTTTAAAAGACCCAACCACCTTGGGTCTAGGCGGGCGGGCAAAAGAGCGATAGAGTGTGTTGTTTTAAAAGAGTGATAGAGCGTGTTAGAGTGTGGTGTTTTAAAAGAGTGATAGAGTGAGCTTGGAGAAACCAATGTTTTAAAAGACCCATCCACCTTAAGTCTAGGCGGGCGGGCGTCAAAAAATCCGCATGTTTTAAATGACCCATCCACCTTGGTTCTAGGTGGGCAAGGTGGATTTTTGGAGGGTGGGCATCCAAAAATATGCTTGCGGATGCCCAGGCAAGCTAGGCGGATGTACCTGGACGGGCGCTCGGCGGGCTAAGACGCCAGGTGCCTAGGCGCGCTAGGCGGATGTGGCACCCGGTGTCCTTAGGCAGATTTTTGGACGGGCACTCGGCAGGCTAGGCAGATGTACCTGGACGGGCGCCTGGCGGGCTTGCAGATGTACCTGGACGGGCGCCCGGCGGGCTAGGCGGATGTGGCACTCGGAGTTCGCAGGCGGATTTTTGGACGGGCGCTTGGCGGGCTAGGCGGATGTACCTGGATGGGCACCCAGGCGGTACTTGGGTGGGCCAGGCGAATGTACCTGGACAGGTGCCCAGGCGTCACCTGGGTGGGCCAGGCGGATGTACTTGGACGAGCGCTCAGGCAGTACCTGGGTGGGCTAGGCCGATGTACCTGGACGGGAGCCCAGGTAGTACCTGAGTGGGCCAGGTGGATGTACCTGGACGGGCGCCCAGGTGGTACCTGGGGTGGGCCAGGCGGATGTACCTGAATGAGCGCTCAGGCGGCACCTGGGTGGGCCAAGCGGATGTACCTAGATGGGCACCCAGGTAGGCGGATGTATGGGTGGTACTTGAGTGGGCTAGGCGGATGTACCTGGACGGGCGCTCAGGCAGTACCTGGTGAGCCAGGCAGATGTACTTGGACAAGCGCCCAGGCGGTACCTGGGTGGGCCAGGCGAATGTACCTGGACGGGCGCCCAGGCGATACCTGGGTGGGCCAGGCTGCTGTACCTGGATGGGCGGGGCAGATGTACTTGGACGGGCAACAGTACCTAGGTGGGCCAGGGCGGATATTTTTTGTTTTTTTTAAAATTACAGAGCTTTTTTAAAATACGGAGAGCCCACCTAGGCGGATGTACCTGGGCGGATATTTTTTGTTTTTTTTTTAAATTACGGAGTGCCCACCCAGGCAGATGTACCTGGGCGGACATTTTTTGTTTTTTTTAAATTACAGATATTTTTTGTTTTTTTTAAGTTACGGATATTTTTAGTTTTTTTTAAATTACAGAGCACCTGAGGTTAGGCGCTTGCCTAGCGTTACTAGCGTTTTTGGAAACCTGTGGGTTCCCTAGGCGCGGAGCCGGAGCGTTTCTTGAAATATTAGCAGTAGCAGTAACTTTTGAAGTAATTTTTATAAGATTTGATTGTGCCGGAACGTTTTTTGAAATAGTAGCAGTAGCAATAACTTTTGAAGTAATTTTTTTAAGATTTGATTTAGTCTCTGACAAGACGGCCTAATTGAGTCTTCTGACTCAGGCTCAAGAATGTAGATATCGTTATTGACATTTGTTTTTGGATAAAGCATGGTACCTGAAGTTGATTCTATATTTTGAACTTGTTTTTGGATAAAGCATGGTACCTGAAGTTGATTCTATATTTTGAACTTGTTTTTGGATAAAGCATGATACCTGAAGTTGATTCTATATTTTGAACTTTCAGACAAGCCGGTAATACTGGATTTATGACTGGATGGCCAATGGCATACTGAGTTGGGTAACACATATTTTTTGCTCCACATCCATATTCATGCTCAACTGCAAATACAGGCTCAAAGCCACCATACCGGAGTCTTTCATATGTGAAGGATCAAGCTGGGATCACAGAGGCTTTGTCCTTGTTGTAAAAGCTTATCATAGTGCTGCAGGAAGTCAGGGATTCTAAGAGAATGTTTCTTGAAATAACAGGAGGTCACCATAACCATTAAAATCCAAAATCCAAAGTAATAAAACACTTTTCCTTTGAAATCTGTTAAGTTAAAGATCAGTCCTATCAAAGTACAAAGGGGGTGGTTGGCGCAACCTTAAGCAATTTAGTTAAGGCGCGCCTCTAAATTTTATCATGCTTGAGAATCTATTTTTATCTCTTATTATAAAATTTTAAACTCTAAAAATGGTTCAAATCAAATAGATCTATAAACACATGAAAATCTTGAAAATAGATGGTCTAGATAATGTTTTGTAAGATAACTATTTTGCGGACTTAAAATCTTTTTTTCTTTTCATATTCATACATCTCGATGTCGAGATGGTCAATTAAAGGGTTTTCCAACATCCAAACAACCTTTTATGATGGATATTCGAGGTGTATTAATTCTACATTTTAAGGATGCAACCTTATATAAATTTTTTCCAAATATAAAAGGAAATGAAATTGTAAGTTTAAAGAGAGTCTGTAACATCAAGAAGTCATTGAACTTTTTGGTTGCTTCTTCTATTATTCTTCTTCTTCTTTTGTTTTTTTTTTTTTTTATCTTTTCATTTCCCAATTATTACTAAATTCTTTAGATTTCTAAGTAAACCTTTATTCTTTTTTTTCTTTTTTTTTTATCTTTTCATTTCCCAATTATTGCTAATTTTTTTATATTTCTAAGTAAACCTTTATCCTTTCTTTAAGGTCCTTTCTTTAAGGAAATTTTGAATGCACTTTTCCAAATAATTCTATCAAATTCATTCATGCTTTTTTGATACTTGTGATAATGTGGAAATGGTAGGAAATTCTGAATGCACTTTTCCAAATAATTCTATCAAATTCATTCATGCTTTTCTGATACTTCTAATAATGTGGAACTGGTAGTGTGGAAATGGTTCATTCATGCTTTTCTAATACTTCTGATAATGTGGAAATGGTAGTCTGCATTTGGATTACTTATTGAATCAGAAATGGTAGTCTGCATTTGGAGTACTTATTGAAAGAAAGTTGAGGATTAAAATGGGTTTTCTAAAAATTAAAAAAAAAATCCCTTACTTGATCTTTCTAGGGCAACATTGTATTATAAAACCCAAATATAAAAATTGGAAATTTTTTTGACTTGAATCTGTGCAAATTATCTGTGCTTCAATGCCTGGCCTCTTGTGAAATCAGATGCAGGACGCCATTGACTATGCTTTTTGGGCTGCGGCTCAATTTCTTCATGGAATTGAGGCATCTGACACAACTGCATATAAATATAGAAACTAGTGTTATCAAACTGAACCAGCCACTAATCCGATCAGAGTTTTACTCATGTTGAAATTGGTCCGAGCATCCGTCAAACCTTATTTCAAATATATAAATTAAAGTAAAATTATAATTTAAAAATAAAAAATATAAAAAAAAAGCCTTAATTTTGTTTAGCATATCTATTGGTAAAAAACCGGCCGGCCTTGACACTCGTTGGAGGTCTAACTGATTTGACTGACCAAACCATCCATCTGGTCGCAGTAATGACATAGAAACCCTATATTTTTTAGTTTTGGAAAATAATTTATGTCATGTTTTTCTTCTTTAGAAAATATCAGTAAAACGGTCAAACTCCTTCATAAAATCAGTAATGATGTTTAACTATCAATAAAATGTTTATTTTAATGAGATCATTGCACTCAAATATCTCCTCAAGTATTTTGTTAAAAACACCTAAAACAAAATTTCCGGAGGGTTTGGAATCCAAAATAACTAGACATATTTTGTTGAATTAGCCCATCATGTATGGAGAAGATTGCCAAAACACTCTTCACTTGATTTGAATTTTAAGTCTAGAATCATCATCCTCATAATCAAAGCATGTTTCCAAATGTTTGGGGTTGGCTATGTGAAGAGTCTCAAGTTTCAATGAGGAGATTCTTGAGACCTAATGTTCATTAATCCTATGAATATATGACTTGTCTTTTATAGACAAACTATAATTGAGAAAATCTAGAAATAAATGACTTACTATAAATATAGGATATTGTATCTACCCTTCTTAAATATAGAAGTTAGGATATATACATTCTATAGTGATCAGGTACAAAATATTACAGACAAATTATAGTTGAGAAAATATAGAAATAAATGGCTTACCATAAATATAGGATATTGTATCTGCCCTTCCTAAATATAGAAGTTAGGATATATACATTCTATAGTAATCAAGTATAGAATATGTACTTTCTTTTCACACTGCCTCTCAAACTCAAGATGCTATTAAAGAGCGTAATTGGAGTTTGAATACTAATTGCGAAAACAAGCAGTCGGATCTTGAGGTGTATAGAATGACTAGTAGATGCAGTGGTTGTCATGCTTAGATTACGTGATCAACAAGCATATAAAGCCTTAGGAACATATGGCCTCAGGAACTAAGGGCCATATCAGAGTAGACTCAATCAATCAGACAAAAAATTTCAAACAAAGCAGCCGAGACAACTGAGAGAACAAAAATGTACTTGGCAGAGCCAACAAAACTCGGTGTGGATCCGAGACGGATTCAACAGCTCGCATACCAAAACAAACATGATCGCGTAATTGGGCAACAAACTCGAACATACAACAAATATTCAGAGAGTTTTTTTTTGTTCGAGTTTCAGATGGTCAAAGAACAAGATCGAGTAATAGAGTAACATACTTGATCTTAAAAACAATAAGAGACATAGGAAAGATAAAACAAAATTTATGAATAATTCTTTTTTTTTTTTTTTGGGATTGGTTTTTCAGAAGGGTTATAGAAGGTCAATGACAATATGAGTAGTGAGAGAAAACGAATATGCAAAAGTTGCAAACAAATTACATTGTTTTGACAATGTAAAAAGAAAGCCCCAGGGATAAAGGAAAGTAAGAGAGAGGCACAAAGGGAAAGCGAGAGAGAGACGCAGAAAGCCAGAGAGTTACTGTTGGAAAATAGATGACTGGAAAATAGTTTTGCAGAGAGTCGTAACACGACTCGATGGAAGGGCTCAGATAAGAGAGTCAAGGTTGAGGAATGGACACGACAAATATAAACCTTGTTTTGATACCATAAACCTTGCTTTGATACCGTAAGTATTGCTTGGATACCACTTGAAGAGTCAAGTTTATCTTAACAAACTCCCTGTGTCCATTAATTGTATGAATATACAACATTGTCTTTTATAGACAAATTGCAGATGAGAAAATATAGAAATATATCACAATTTTCTATACTATACCCAGACATACCATAAATACAAGATATTGTATCTACCTTTCTTTCTTAAATATAAAGATTATAACATGAGTAATGATCTTATGAGACCCTCTCACACCCATGTGTGTAGGACCCCAAATGATCACCATTTAATTTGACACAGATCTCTAAAAAAGTTATAGGTGTGAGACTTAACTTTTTTAGATATCTATGTGGTGATCCTTTGGGGTCCTACACACATAGGTGTGGGAGGGTCTCATAGGATCATTACTCTTCTAATATATACATTCCATATTAATCAGGTACAACTATGAAGAGTATCGGGTTTTTTATTTGAAGAGACTCAGTGTCCATTAATCGTATGATAATACAGACTTGTCTTTTATAGACAAATTACAGATGATAAAATATAGAAATAAATCACAATTTTCTATACTATACCCAAACATACCATAAATACAATATATTGTATCTACCCTTCTTAAATATATATATTAGGATATATACCTTTCATATTAATCAAGTACACAATATATTCTTTCCTTTCACAATGTGAAGAGTCTGAACTTTCTCTGGAGGGACTCAGTGTCCATTAATCCCATAAATATACAAACTTGTCTTTTATAAACAAAGTATAGATGAGAAAATATAGAAATAAATCATTGTTTACCATAAATACAAGATATTGTATATACCATTCCTAAATATACAGATTACAATATATACCTCCATATTAATCAGGTATACAATATATACTTGATCCGCATTCTGCTCAATCAAATGCCATAGTCTCAAGGCTACACCCAACTTTATTTTGGCTGCACGTCATCTTCCTCAAACTCACCATTTCCTGGATTATCGTTCTTTTTGACATTTCTTGGGCTGTCAATATTAAAAACTTTGTTGTCTCTGCTTCTATTATTACTAAACTTGGAATAAGTGATTTTAATGAAAAATACACATTTTCCTTGGTTGGAATCTAGAGCAAGTGGAGTAGTTCAAGCCACTTGAGTTAGGATATATAATGTAAATACCCATACTTGTTCCAACTTTCAAACCTGGACCAAGAGATTTTAGTGAAAAAAACGTGTTTTAAACTCAAAACATGAAATTGGTTGGGCCACTAAAATGGAAATAATTATAAAAGTGCCCATACATGTTCAGGATTCCACTTTATGAATTTTTTAACAAAGTAAGTAAATAGAAATAATTATAAAAGTGCCCATACATGATCAAGATTCTACTTTGTCAAATTTTTAACAAAGTAAACTTTGTCAAATTTTTAACAAAGTAAACTTTGCCAAAGTTTTAACAAAATAATTTAAGAGGTTGTTGAGTGAACTTGAGTAGTTTTTTTTGAAAGGTATTGACCTCTTCCTTCTTTGAGAACTTGTCAAAATCTATGGCATTTTGCAATATTTTCAAACTTGGCTTGGGCCTTGAACTTTGGCTTAGGCCGAGCCAAGTAACTTAACTGCGTACAAGTGTATAGTCAAGTCTTATATGGGATGAAGAACACCAAAAAAAAATTTTAAAAAAATAAAAAACTCGTAAAAATAGTTAAAAATTTAAAAGTGAAAAAGTAAGATAACTCATAAATCATTAAAAGTTTATAAAAACTAAAAATATATATATATAAGATGGGTTAAATGTACAGAAAAATGAGAAAAATAGAAAATAAAAAAAATTGTTGCATTAACAAAAAAAAGTTTCCAAATCATTTAAAATCATAAAAATCACATAATAATAAATTATAAATCACTAATTTCAGTTTTAAAATAAAAATTAGGACTTTTAGTTAATTTTAAACATGGGCAAGTTACCCCTAGAAAATCAGAACTCGCCTCGGCGTAAGGCCGAGGTACTTAGCCTAGTTAGAGTAGACGCATCCAAGTCCTAAAACACTGGTATTTTGTGTGAGTCATGTCCAAGAGATTAAATAAATTAAAACTGTTATCGAAATTCTCAAGATAGAGAAAAATGCGTTACCACAATTTCGAAAGTTGGTGTCGTGTCTTCGAGAAAGGATGCTCTCATAGCAGTAATGTCTGACCATTGCATTTCCATTTTCTTCTTCAATTTGCAATTAACTTCCAAAATCTCCCAAACCAATTTGCGTTGACCGAAATAGCATTTTCCCGTCAATTCTCCAGGATTCTTCGCAATGACCTGCACAAAAAACTAAAAACTAACATCATAAGTGAAAAAGAATGGAACTAAAAGTTATAAAGAATTTCCCAAATTTTATATTTAATGTTTTAACTGATGAGGATTAATTTGAAAATAAAAAAACTTTCCAATTAAAAATTCAAAAACAACTTATCATGTTTCCAAAAACAACTTATCATGTTTCCTAGTTTGATTGAGGAATAAAAAACTTAAGTGACTAACACATATTTAACACATATTTAACACATATTTAACACTTTGTTGAGTATTATGTTGAGTATTATTAGTTGAGTAATACATTGTGTAATAAAAAACAATTCTTTATATCCCTTTTTTCTAATTGGAAGATTCAACTACAAATATTGTAATAAAAAATAACAATATGTCATATTACTTATTTTAAAATATAAATTTGAAATGTTAAGGGCCAGTTTGAATGTCAAAACAAAAATATATTCACAGTGAAATATTAAGGACTAGTTTGAATGTCAAAAAAAACAATATTCACAATGAAAAAAAAATTTAATATTCACAACGAAAAAATGTTAGTTTTTTCTACTTCAATTGGAAAACATTATGGTCTTATTTTATTATGTTAGTAAACTGTTTGGAGGTTTAATTTCATTGATTATTGGAAAAGATTCATGGGTTCTCTTCTCCTAACATTATGGTCATGGTCTTATTTTATTATATTGGTAAACGATGGGTTCTCTTCTCCTAACATTATGGTCATGGTCTTATTTTATTATATTGGTAAACGATGGGTTCTCTTCTCCTAACATTATGGATTCTCTTCTCCTAACATTATGGTTATGGTCTTATTTTATTATCTTGGTAAATTGTGGGCTCTCTTCTCCTAACATTATGGTCATGGTCTTATTTTATTATGTTGGTAAACTGTTTGGAGGTCTAATTTGGTCTAATTTCATTTGATTACTGAAAAAGATCCGTGGGTTCTCTTCTCCTAACAATATGTGTTCGTAAACTGTGGGTTATCTCCTCCTAACATTATGGTCATGGTCTTATTTTATTATGTTGGTAAACTGTTTGGAGGTCTAATTTCATTGATTATTGGAAAAGATCTGTGGGTTCTCTTCTCCTCTCGTTCTCTCTCTCCTCTCACTCTCTCTCTCTGCATCACCATTCACAGGTCTCTCTCCTCCATCGTTCACAATTCTCGTTCACAATTCTACTATGTTTCTTTACTCTAGAGTGTCTCGTTCACAATTCTATTGTGTTTCTCTACTCTAGAGTGTGTTTCTTTGCTCTAAAGTGTTTCTTTACTCTAGAGAGCTAGGGAAAGCGAAGGTATCACCTAGGATACGGCTCTCCAGGGAGAGCAAAGGTATCACCTAGGTTACGAATCTCCTCTTCTCCTCCACCGTTCACAATTCTACTATGTTTCTTTACTCTAAAGTGTGTTTCTTTACTCTAGAGTTTGTTTCTTTACTCTAGAGTGTTTCTTTACTTTAGAGAAGTAGGGAGAGCGAAGGTATCACCTAGGTTACGGCTCTCCAGGGAGAGCGAAGGTATCACTCAGGATACGGCTCTCCAGGGTCCCTCGAAGGTATCAACTAGGATGCGACTCTCCAGGGCCCCCGACCTCGAAGGTATCACCTAAGATGCGACTCTCCAGGGCCCCCGACCACAAAGGTATCACTGAGGATGCAGCTCTCCAGGACCCTCGAAGGTATCACCTATGATGCTGCTCTCCAGGGCCCTGACCCCGAAGATATCACCTAGGATGCGGTTCTCCAGGGCCCCCGAAGGTATCATCTAGAATACGACTCTGAAAGTATCCCGTAGGATACGGCTCTCCAGGAAGAGCGAAGGTATCACTTAGGATACGGCTCTCACCAGGGAGAGCGAAGGTATCACTTAGGATACGGCTCTCACCAAGGAGAGCGAAGGTATCACCTAGGATACGGCTCTCAAGGACAGCGAAGGTATCGGCTCTCACCAGGGAGAGCGAAGGTATCACCTAGGATACGGCTCTCTAGGACAGTGAAGGTTTTAGCTCTCTAGGCAAAGGTATCGGTTCTCTCTCGAAGGTATCGGCTCTCTCTCGAAGGTATCCTAGCTGAAGGTATCGGCTCTCTCCAAGGAGAGCGAAGGTATCACCTAGGATATGGCTCTCCAGGGACAGCGAAGGTATCGGCTCTCCAAGGAGAGCGAAGGTATCCCAAGGGCCCAGCCAAGGTGGATAGCTAGATACCGTGGCCCTAGAGCCTCCCAAAAGTGGATTTGGGATACCTAGATAATGCTAGGGCCCCAAAATGGATACCTGGAATATGGTATCCCAGGTATCCACGGGCCCCAAAGGTGGATACCTTGGATATCGTATCCCAGGGCCCCAAAGGTGGATAGCTAGGATACCTTATCCCAAGGCCACCTTCCCAAAGGTGGATAGCTAGGATATCATATTCCAAAGCCCCAAAGGTGGATCTCAAAGGTTGATAGCTAGGCCCCCGAATCCCAAGTGCTCTGCCAAGGTGGATACCTAGGATACCGTGGCCCCAGGGCCTCCCAAAGTGGATTAGGGATACCTAGATACCATATCCCCAGGACGTCAAGCCTCCAAAATGGATACCTGGATACGGTATCCCAAGTATCCACGGGCCCGGGCCCCCAAAATTTATCCTTAGGACGCTAGGGCCCCCATAATGGATATCTGGATACGGTATCCCAGGTATCCATGGGTGGGGCACCCAAAATGTATACCTGGATACGGTATCCCAGGTATCCATGGGTTTGGGCCCCCAAAATGGATACCTGGACGATATCCATGGGCCTGGGCCCCCATAATGGATACCTGAATACGGTATCCTAAGTATCCACGAGCCCCAAAGGTGGAACGCCAGGGCCCCAAAATGGATACCTGGATACGGTATCCTAGGTATCTACACAGGTGGATACCTAGGATATCGTGTCACGCCAGTCCCAAAATGGATACCTGGGATATGTCTCCCAAAGTAGGTGGATATACCGTATCTCAGGGCCCTCAAAGGTAAGTGGATACCTAGGATACCGTATCCCAGGGCAAGGTAAAGGTAAAAATGGATACTTGGGATACGGTAGTATCCCAAAGTAGGTGGATACCTAGATACTATATCTCAGGGCCCCCAAAGGTAAGTGGATACCTAGGATACTATATCTCAAGGCCCCATCGTATCCCAGAGCCCCAAACTTGGATCCCACGGTGGATAGCTAGGATACAGTATCCCAAGGCCCTCGAATCACCAAAGCCTCCCAAAGGTGGATTTGGGATAGCCCCACCGTATCCAGGGCCCCAAAGATGGATCCCAAAGGTGGATAGCTAGGATACCGTATCCCAAGGGCCCCGAATCCCTAGAGCCTTCCAAAGGTGGATTTGGGATACCTAGATACCGTATCCCAAGGCTCCAAAGATGGATCCTAAAGGTAGATAGCTAGGATACCGTATCCCAAGGCCCCCGAATCCCTAGGGCCCCCAAATCTCAAGGCCCCACCTTAGGTATCGTGGCCCCAGGGCCTCTCAAAGATGGATTTGGGATACCTAGATACGATATCCCCAAGATGCCCAAAATGAATACCTGGAATACGGTATCTGAATACCTAGGATACCGTATCTTAGGGAGCTAGGTGGATACCTAGAATACCGTATCCTAGGGCGTCCTAAAAGTGGATACCTAGATATCGTATCCCCAGGTGAGATACTGTACCCCCAGGTGGGATACCTAAGATACCGTATCTTAGGTCCCAAAGGTAGGTGGGAAACCTAAGATACTGTATCCCCCAAAGGTCCCAAAGGTAGGTGGGATACCTAGGATATCGTATCCTCAGTTGCAGGTAGGTGGATACCTACTATACTGTATCCCAGGGCATACAGTATCCCCACTTAGAGGTAGGTGGATACCTAGGATACCGTATCCCAGGGTATCCCAGGGCCTCCCGAAGGTGGAAACCTAGATACCATATCCCCAAAATGGATAACTATCATATGCCTCCCCCCAAACGCTAAATATCGTATCCCCGACGCCAGGCCCCCAAAATGGATACCTGGGATACTATATCCCAGAGCCTCCCAAAGGTGGATACCAGATATCGTATCCCCAAAATGGATACTTAGCATATGCCTCCCAAAGGTGGATTCCTAGATATCGTATCCCCCGGACGCTAGATACCTTATCCCCGACATCAGGCCCCCAAAATGGATACTGTATCCAAGGATACTTGGGATACAGTATACCATGGCCCCATGGCCCATGGGTCCCCAAAGGTAGGTGGATACCTGGGCCCCCAAAATGGACAACTGGGATACGGTATCCCATGGCCTGGTGGATACTTAGGATACCGTATCCCAGGGCCCCGAAGGTGGGCCTAGATATCCACCTTCGGGGGCGGTGTCCCAGGTATCCACCTTCGCGATATCCTAGGTATCCACCTTCTATCATCTACCTTCGTGGTATCCTAGGTATCCACCTTCTATCCTAAGTATCCACTTTCGTGGCCGGCCGGTCTGAGGATACGGTATCTTAGGTATCCTCCAAATATCCACCTAATATCCACCGACATAATATTTATCGACCTGGATACGGTATGTTAAGTCTTAACATCCATCTCCAAAATATCCACCGACCTGGATACGGTATCCTAAGTCGTAACATCCATCTCCAAAATATCCACCGATCTTCTAGGTATCCTACTAGGTATAGGTATCCACCTTCGTGGCCGGCCGGCCTAAGGATACGATATCTTAAGTATCCACATAATATCAAGGCCATCCCCGAAATATCCACTAAACATCCACCGACCTAATATCCACCGACCTGGATACGATATGCTAAGTCTTAATATCACCGACCTGGATACGGTATCCTAAGGCTTAGTATCCATCTCTGTAAGTCTTAATATCCATCTCCGAAATATCCACCTAATATCCACCGATCTTTTAGATATCCACCTATCCACCGATCTTCTAGGTATCTGCCTTCGGGGGACCCCGAAATATCCACCTTCGT